AACATATTCTAACTGCCAGTCCAAAACCAGGATACCTTGCAGAGACAAAGCTAGGCCGCTTAAGACCGATGGCCTCCAACCAACCTACAGTAATAGCAATGGCCTCCAACTTATGAGCGATGGCCTCCAACCTAACTATTGTATTCGGTTCGTTGTGTCTTTATATTCTAACTGCATGTGGTCTCCGGCCTCCCCCAGGCTTTACGTAAAACCATATTCTAATTGCATATAGAAAAAACAAATTCTAACTGTCAGTCCGCCATAGTACAAGTCCTCCAAGATCGACGTCATCAGCACTTTCTGCAAACTGAAGCACGGGACAGAGTCTTGTTCTAAGTGCAAGCGGGCCCACAAGGTAGTATCAAGCCATCACTGCAGGTACGCCACACTGATCAGGTCTGGTTTCACCACCGGTTGCAAGCGTCTTCGTTGGCAGCTGCTGGAAAGCAGACAAATCTGACCAAGTGGTACCCAGGGACAACCGATGAACCCAACCTCCTTGCAACAACCTGGGCGACCTGAGACCTGGGTTTAAGTGTGAGTGCGCGTGCTAACCTGTAGCGTGGGGCACGATGAGTGATAGTGAGAGCACCCGGCCCAGACAGGCAGAATATTCATGAAAATTCAATTCACTGTGGCTAACGCGCAGGGAAAGTCTCCTACAATCCCTGGACTGATTGGGAGAGCCCAAAGAAATGGATTGCCATTGTGTGCGGCATGCATCTCGGAGGGCACATTGCACAGGACCCAAGTAGACACTTGGGGAGAGCCGCTCGGTGCGGCAGGTAACGCGTGAAGCGGTAAGTCGCCGGTGCGGCGTGAGCGTCGGCCATGACCAATCCGAACGTAGTCAAAGCCGCTTGGCTGAGTTGCCTTGCGGTGATGGAATCACGTAACCTCAATTCGCAGGTTTGATTGTAGGAATTTTTGAACCTGCCGAACAGCTTGGGCGATCGGTCCATTCAAGCACTTGGCATGCTGCCGCAAAATGTGGTCAGCAGTTTGCTACCCTTTTGTGCAAGGTGATGATGCCGAGCGGACAAATGTCAAAAAATGGTTGGTCTCAAGATTATTTTTTGTCACCTAGCGTCATAGCAAATTTTTAGTTACAGTTTGTGACCATTAGTTTGGCCGTGGTCAGTGTGCACAACCCAATGTGTATTGCCTAAAGGGTTTGGCGTTGCCAATTGGGTTTCTCAAATGTGCCGCGTGCAGGGACGACGTTGACGGACACAGGTGGCAACAACACCCTGCCGCTGTGGTCATAACGTACACACTAAGGGCTGGACCAATGTGTGCGCAAAAGAGAGAAAGGATGAGGTGCCAAGACAGAAAGACAGAGAGACGTGATGTGTGTCTGTATGTGTGTGAAGGAGAAAGGATGCCAAATGGAGGTGCCGGAAACCAACGAAGTTAAAGCGACCTAGGCAAAACTTTGTTAAAAGTGTACGCGCTGTGTGTGCGCATGAGGCTCCGGCAGGTTCCAGTGAACCTTTCAAAAGCTTTGACTGCTGTGGTCACCTGGTGCCCTGCCAAAATGGCTGGCTGCTTGGACCGCTGCGGTCACCTAATGGAGTGCTCGAAAGCTGCCTGCTTGGTTTCAATAATTCATCAGGTCTTGGCAAATATCTTTGGCGTAAGCCTCCTACACTCGCTGCGAGCTGCTCTGTATCCGGGCAAGGGGTACGAAAAACCCACGTTCGACGGTTTTTTTCTAGGAAGCACTCCTCGGGCTCACCCTGAGCTCTCCCTAAGGAGAGACACACTTGCGGAAATGCGTACTGAACCGAATGCGCACCTAGGTATGAAAACCTGAGAGTACCACGAGTAAGTCTGAACAAGAAAACCTCCAAAGTCTTGAGGTTCACGAACAGCCATAAAGGTGGCTCTCGGCGACAGGTTGACGACGCGCGCTCATGTTTGCAGAACTCATGAGACCTTTACTGGAGAGTGGGGTCACAGCTTGTTCAAAAGTTCAAACCATCGCAGGTACGTCACGGTGAGCAGCCGTGATATCCTAGTCAACTGCATGGAGCTTCCTTGGCGACCGGCACGCAGCTACTCTTTCACGCCCTGCTGATGAAAATAAGCATATTCGAGGGAATCCCTGTGACTCCAAGGGTTACACACACACATACGACAAACACACACAAAACACAAAAGCACACAACATCCAACACGCACACGGGATAAAAGTTCGTACGGAGGCCGCCAAATGCCTAGAAGAAACTCCAGGTTCACAAGGCGTTGACGTTTCCATCAATCCACGAAAGCGAGCGGATCGAAATGCAAGCCTGTCGACCTGGATCACCCTGCAAAAGCCTGAGCGCCTTTTTCGATTGGAAGGTGGTTACAACAACCACAAGGGCAGGTACAGAAGGCGATCTTCCTCTCCCATCCACGAACGTCGTTTGCCCTTGCTTGATATCTGAAGACAACCGGTTCCTTATGACTTCCAGGGTTACACAGCAGACCCCGGTGGAAGGCACATGTGCGCACAAAATAAAAGAAAAGAACCGACGTGAAGGAAGTGACAGAAATGACAGGGAAACCAGGTGGCCAGGGACAACCGATGAGCCACGCCTCATTGTACCAAGACCTGGGGCACGTGAGAATCTGGCTTCACAATGTAATAAGTAAGTGCACGTGCACACTAACGTCGGGGCGGGTCCAGGTGTGCGCGCAAAAGAACAAGCGCACGCACACACACACACAGGCACACCCATTTTTGAGCAAGAGCGAAACTAACATTGCACTTGGAGTGTTGGAACCCTTTGGCTAAGATGTTCATGAAGCGGGGCCCGCTGTCCAAGACAAACCAAGTCCTAGCAGTGCCAGGCAGGGTGCCGCACCTTGTGCCTTGGAGTGTGACGCAATTCAAGCACTTATTGTTGAGGCTTGTTGGCCGCAGAAGGACAGATCTACTACCCGCAGGACTTCCTTGTGGGAGCATCGATCAACGTTTGGGGCCGCAAGCTTGTCATCTATGACTGCAGCTCGGCTAAACGCAGTCTTCTTGCTGGGAGAGTGGGTTGGACACAGAGCATGAAACCTGAGGTGACGATGCGACCCAAAAGTTCTACAAAGAGTATTTGGACATAGACCAGCGCAAGGCACGTTCAGTTCGAGTGCCACTCCCGTGGACTCCATCTTAGATGATTTGGTAATTGAATCTGTTTGCGTACAGGGGTGCATCGACGTGTCCGAGAAGCCAGTGACACACTTGAAATTGACACCGGTTCCTCACACTGGGGTGGGCCGAGAGGAGGAGGGAAGCTGTGTGGTGGTAGTACCACTGCACAGGGCACACAATAGGAACAATGAACACAACAAGAGCTTGTCGTGCCGCAGCGTTCGCAGGATTCCTTGATCAATTGCCAGATGATTCAGCCAAAGCCTCCAAAAGTTGACTTGGAGCGGCTCATGTTGTACCACGGAGAAATCCTAAGGTTTGAGTGCAAGATGATGAAGCTCAGCTCTTTTGTATAGGTTCTATGTCCAAAAGATATTTTCAGAATATCTCCACTGTCCACGATGGATGGTGCCAGTGTTCACGGTAAGTTGTTTGCAGCAGAGGAATGGTGAGCCTGAAGATGAACTTCGACGCTTGGTGATTGCTTATTACCTGGCAGATGATGAAGTGGCAGTTTTCGAGGCCAAAGACTTGCATTTCTGCTGCGTGCTGTTCAGTTGCACAGTTTGTGTACCTCGCTTTCAGGTGCCGGTGCGAAACAGTGGCCACATGGGTGGAAGGTTTTCAGAGAAGCGCCGCATGAAGAATCCGGACACTGGAGAATACTTCAAGATCGGAGAGGCTTGGCTGACTTTTAGATCGTCCGTGAGCTCTGCCCGGATATCGCATGCGGCGGAGCTGTTCGCTTCCATGTTTGCCACCAAGGACTTGTTTGTCGGTCAGACAGTTACCATCGCCGCGCAGCCATTGCAAATCACACGAGCGGACGAGCATTGCTTGCAGTATTTGGAGGCTAGCTGAGATGGTCAAGCATTGTGTGACTACTGTGGCTCACACAGGTATTCGGTGTTTGTCCCATTCAATGATTCTGTTAACGGTTAACGCTAATGAATGCGCTGCAGGCCCATCCGGACGAGTTCCCCTATGCCAGTCCTGTGGCTTGTGCTCGACGTTTGTTGCCATTGGCTGCAGATCCCGAAGTGCAAGACGAGAGAGGAATTGAACCAGAGCGCTTGAAGGAGCTGGCTGCGAAAGCAGGAGTTTCCCTCATAGACCATGAGTTGGTCACGCTGCTGCGACATTTCGGAGTCCCCCCTGAGAGTGAGGACCAACAACCCAGAATCATTGGTCCACATGCGCTTGAATGTGCTGGCTGAGGTTCAGTTGGGGGCCTGGAACACCAAGTGTTTCCACAGCCCAACTCTTGGAACTTCGACCATTTTTTTGCAGGCCGGCCTGTGCATACGCCCCGATCACTGACATAACGAAAGTTTCAACTCATTTTCTCATTGGTTTTTTGAACTACCTGCATCACGAATCAGCATAGTAAATACACGAGTGCTGATTTAGAACGGAAATGGTGTGGGAGGAATTTTGGGCGTGGCACGTCTCACATTCAGGTCTGCGTACATAGGATTCTTGCAACAGTAGCAGAGCTGTTCATTTTTGGAGCCTCCAAGAGGCACACCAAGAGCCGGCAGACATGCCGACAGTCTTATAGAGAGTTAAGCTGCCATCAGAAATGTCGGAAAGCAGGCGGAGTAAATTCCAATTCTTTGTGCAGTCGCGGGCTATTGTTATTTCGGTTGAATTGGATTGAAGGCCCAACATGTTGTTTTCAGCAGCCACTGTGGTGCACAAGTGGGGGGATATCTTGGCCATGACCTCACAGCTGAGCAAGTCCACTTCGCTGCCTAGCCTCTACAAGATTGGCATTGACAAACCCAAGGCCAATGCGCGGACGACCACTTTGGCCTTCAAGGTTCCTGGGAACCTGAAATCACAGATGGATTTAAAGGTGTTGCCTGCACCTACGGAGCACAGCCGATACTTGGCCTCCTTGATGAAGACAGGGGGATGGCGGACATTCTACCGAGAAGAGGGAGACGACGTTCCAACCAAGGACCTTGTTTGCGACGTTTGCTTGAAATGCATGATCCAGCTTTTGCCTTTCCAAACTCGTTGAACAGCCCCTGCAGGAAGAGGATATTGTTCCCAAGAACATGAGGCACCCGAGGCTCAGCCCGGCATGGCTAAAGCATGAAAAGCAGGTGCTTCGTTGGTATGGCTTCTTCCAGGAGACAGTGACAGAGAGCGCGATGGAAAACAGCCGTTATCGGCACGTTTACATCATGTACTTCTTGGAAGACGGCACCGTGGGCATCAACGAGCCTAAAGTGGAAAACTCTGGAATGCCACAGGGCAACTTTCTGAAGCGACAAAAGGTTCAGAAAGCAAATGGGACTTACCTTGGGCCGGATGACATTCACATCGGCTCTGAAGTCACCATTTGTGGCCACACCTTTCACATTTGTGGATGTGATCGATTTACCCGTTGGTTCTTCGCAGAGAATGGGGTCACCCTTGAAGAAGAGCCTCGAACACGAAAGTACAATCATGCTAGAGAGAACAATTGCCCCCCATCTCCGATAGCTGGCATAGCTTGTAGGTTGGAGGCCATCGCTCTTAGGTTGGAGGCCATCGCTCTTAGGTTGGAGGCCATCGCTCTTAGGTTGGAGGCCATCGGTCTTAGGTTGGCGGCCATCGCTATGAGGTTGGAGGCCATCGCTATTAGTAACTCAACAGAAGATTGTTTCGTTTTAGAGGTACTGATTTTTGCCTTGAAGCTTGGCACGCCCCAGGACGAAGAAATTCCTATTGACACCTGGCAGACCAACTACCGCATCCAAAAAGCCAGAGATCGAGGTGGATTGCCCGTGACAAAGGGCGTGATGGACGACAAGGCGGGATGAGAGTGCCCAACGAGGGAACTTGCCACATCTTGTCTCCAAAATTGCAGGCCGTAATGAGAGCATTGGGTGGCATCCCTCCCGTGGAAAAGAAGTTTGCGCAATTCCTCCTCAATGACCGGAAGGTGCTTCGCTTCAAGGCCAGCTTTAGGTCAAGGGCTCAAGGTCAGCTCGAGTGGAGGATGTCTTGAGCTCTGTCTGAAATGCAGGGCTACTGGGACGACCACACACCATATGGGACGAGCTGCATGGCGATGCAATTGCATAATAAAACATATTCCTGACATGAGTTGTTCAAGCAGCATGTCACTGAAAGGCGTTCCAAAGTGCTTTGTGTATTCAAACACAGCTCCGATTGAGCTGAGGGTTCTATTTTGTTCTTCACTACTACTTGGCCGACAATACCGTCGAGATCAACGAGGCCTTTAGAACTCTGCTCTCGTTCCTTGTGGAGGTTGACCTGACCTATCTAATGAGAGTGGTTCCGCTACCCATTTCTGTATCGTACATTTGTTCGCTGTGAGTGACAAAACCTTGAGCAGCACCAGTGGTCTTGCGCCGGAGATGTCACAGGCTCATTGCCGCAATTCTGGTCGTGCTGGCTGGCCGGCGGGAGGCTTAATTTCAAACTCTGAATGCAGCTGTCAGACAGTCCACTGTGTGCGCGCGTTGTGCAAACTTTAACCATTTTGATTTGATCCAAGATCTTCATGAAGCGCGGGCCGTTGCACAAGAGACCATTGGTGGCATTCAGATAGCTCAAAGGATGAACAACTTTTGCAAGGGCTACACTAACTTTTGCATTTTCCCCATTTTCCCCGAGGCAATTTTGTCAACGGAATTCCCGCAATGCTCTCTGCTGAAGCACCACGATACCTGCCGGAGGATCTGAAGGCAGGCAGCATGTTGAGGTGTTTTGGCCATCTAAGACTTAATCATTTCTTCTACCCAGCATTCCGCAGCGTTCTTAATCTGGTATGTATTCTTGTAGCTTTGCCGGGGTTGGTCTGTCCAGGTTGGAGATTCAATCAATGTGTGGGGCAGAAAGGCACAAGATTTCGAAGTTGACTTCAGCGTAGTCAGACTCTGTGCGATTTGGATTGGCATTTTGTCTCAAGGTTGTGCTCTATGATTGCGACGATTTCACAAGGAAGTTCTACCTTGACTACTTGGGTGCCTCTATTAAGTTGCAGTGTGTGAGGAAAATATATAATGATCCACCGAACTGGGTGTACTGGCTTTTGATTGCAGGTGTCGACCAGTTTGATGGTCGCACCGACGTCAGTGAGAAGCCTGTGACGCATCTGAAGCTCACGCCACCGCCACACAATGGCATTGGCAAGGAGCGATCGTAGGGTACGGAGGTTCTCTCTCTCTCTCTCTATATTGTCCGGGCTAAGGGCACTTGCTTTGAGTCCCCTGGCTGTTCCACTAGTTACTAGTTCTGGCCGCGAGTGCCGAATGGGGATGAAGGCAGAAGATTCCCTGCTGAACTGCACGATGATCCAGCCAAAGCCGCCGAAGGTGAGGAGGGAAAGTCACGCACAACAATCGGGAGAAGACACGACTGAGAAGAGAGGAGAGTAGACCCCACAGAACGCACAGAGACCGCATGGAGTTACAGCACACCCTGCATGGAGAAGACCACTGGTTTGTCGAGGAAAGTAGTTGCAACTAACATGGTCAAAAGATCAGGGTTGATGTTAGTGGAAGACGAAGGTTCCACAGGAAAGGACTTACTGTACCTCAATTGAGAGACTGAAGCCTCTCCCATCCTTTCCCTTCAGATTGATCTCGAGCGCATGCTGGTCTATGGCGGGGATGCTTTACGTTTTTGACCTCAGAGCGCGATCGGTAAAGGTAGTGAAAGAGACAAGGATTGTGGCAACTCTTTGTGCGGCCAGACTAAGACACTCGTGACAACAGTGACAGCATTTCCAAGTTTCCAAGGCTTTGAGTGCAAGATGATCAATGGCGAGCCTGAAGATGAGCTACGCCGTCTCGTCATTGCTTTCTACCCTGCCGATGGCGAGATGGCTGCCTTCGAGGCCTGGACCCCGAGGATTCGGATGTCTTTCCATCCAAACGGCCCGACTCAAGTCAGCCCAAAGCAACAAGGGAGGCAGGGAGGGTCATGCCCTGGCGTCAAAAGCGGAAAGGCATTGTTGTGTGGGTATGGGTCGCAGCCCTGAACTCAGGTTCCTATACGCAACAGCGGCCACATGGGAGGCAGATTCTCAGAGAAGAGGCTCTTGAAAAATCCAGACACGGGCACCTCGGATGTGGTGCACTGTTCCCTTGAATCCGAAGATTTGATGAGATGCACCTGGAAGTCTGGTGCTTCCGACAGATTCTGTTTGAGAGTTTGAGGCAAGTATTTCAAGCTCTCGGACTTGTTTGTCGGGCAAGTGGTCACTATTGCTGCACAGCCTTTGTTGGGCTCTTATGCAGCTAAAGAGGTTTCAAAATCCTGCATGATCTCGAGACACCCTCACTACTCTCAATCATTTTTCTTGACTAGTTTTGTTCCTTCCTCATGCATTTTGAGTGGAGTGAAGTATGTATCACTGTCTCATGCAAGCTTGATTTATAGATTGTGCCGTTGGAGCTGTGAGGCAAATTGTCCGGGCAGATGAGCGGTGCCTACAGTTCTTGGAGGCTCGGAATCATGCTGGGTGATTGCCTTGCTTGAATGAGCAGCCTAAACCAGATCACCAGGTACATCTCATCGGTTTTGTAGTAACCTGTTTTGAATTGCATGCCCAGCAATGACAGGCGCGGCCAAAAGAATTTCCATATGCTGACCCAGTTGCATGCTCAAAGCGGCTGTTGCCACTGGCGGAGCATCCGGAGATGTGCCTTAGCTGGCAAGTTAGGGACTTCCAGCAATAGGGCGAGGCAAGAACTTGTCTGGAGAGCTTGCAGCACGATTTCGAGAGCTTTCAACTTTGTCGCAGCCAAGGCAAAATGCAGATGGTCTTAGCCCAGATCGGCTTAAGGAGATCGCCTTTGAGGCAAAGAGAGCAGCGGGAAGCTGCTGGGTTTGGAAACACAAAATGGGTCCTTTGATGTGCATAGGCCGGCATTTCGATGGTGGATCATGAGATCATCACACTGCTGCGAAGCTGTGGCCGCTCTCTCGGCAATCAACCCGTTTTGGCATCCAACTCACATGCCTATGCCATCGCGTGTCAAGTTAAGTTTATATATGGCAATCAAATGTTTTGACCCCCTTGCTCCAACACAAGACATTGCCCAGAAAACAACTTCCGGCGCAACCACACTATCATACACTTATTTGGGTTTCGTTTCAGTACATGTGGCTTCACGGTGGTATAGACAGGCCTTGCACCAGCCTCTAGAACTGAGGCGTCCCTTCTGAGAGCGAGTCCGACCAGCCAAAGGTA